TTCCTATCATTGAGACGCAGAAGTGTGTAGGGCTTACCCCAATAATGAAAAATGGAAAGTCAAATAGATGAGAAAATGAACATGTAATGGAAGCTACTAATTATTTAGGGTTGAGGGTTCAGGCTGTGCTGAGTTCTGTGCTGTTGCTTAAACTACCAGTTTCCAACAACCCAGAACCCTAAACCTCTGCAGGTTTTTCGTGAGCCGTATTGAAGCCCGCACAGCGGGGAACACAGCAGCGCATAGGGCATTGCGTAGTCATTGTGTTATGAATGCCTGGCTACAGTTCATACCCCATTCGAAGACTGAACCTGGTAATTAACGAAGACCTATACAGGGGAACACCCTACATTCGAAAAATGTGGTCTTTCGAGACAAATCATACACTTCACGTATTGTTTTGGAAGAACACCCGAAGAATGACATGCAACGCTGAGAAATACATGTCAAGACCTTAAGAACATGCGGACGAAGCCTGGATCCCTGGAAGTAGCCAGGTTATATTAGGGTACTAAATGTATATAGGGATTATATAGGTCTTATATTGGGGTTATATTGGGAGAATGGAAAAGAAAATGGAAACTACTCTATTATGCAGGAAAAGGATCAACAAATGCATCCTCCCGTGGTCTCATCGGGTCCCTCCAGCAGGGCGTCTTGAAATCCTTGCAAGGATTCTTACAAGCATGTGGTCCCTTTGCTCTTTGGAAAGCTTGAAGTAGCTTCAGCTGATTTCCAAGAAATGGATGAATGTTCCCAGCAATTGGACCTGTAAAAAGGAAAGAACTCTTCTATTGTACAGCTTGACTCCCCGGCCGGAAGCAAGAAGGGGATTTTGGTAACCCCAAGCCCACAAATTAGGATGCTATATGATTATCACGCGACACTTACAGGGGGCTGGGATTACCAAAGTCCGCTTGCTATAAGAAAAGCAGCCAGATGACCTGAGTCCAAAATCCGAAAGCCCAGGAGTGTGGGCCAATGAAGCAGCTCAAGGCCATGATGAAGAGGACTGGAGGGGGTTTAGGGTTTAGGGGGGCTCTGCTTAGGCTTTGCTTGGGTTTGAACTCTAAGGTGGGGTGTAAGGGTCGGGAATTCTTGTCTTCGGAAATTCAGCTCTTTGTGGAGTGTCCTTGGTGCCCGTCTGACGGGTCTCTTAATTCAGAATTAGAAGCGTATGTGGGTTTTTAGGATGGGCTAGACTCTGATTGCTAGAGCAGTCCTCTGTCAGGCTCCTCACCTCATACCATGGGAATCCAGCAACCGCAAAGTACGTCCTACTCCGCACTTGAGGATCCACGGTGGGTATTTTTTTGTTAGACATGAACCCCCATGGATAGCAGCAATGGGCTGTGCGTGCCCACCCCTGCCCGCCCTTGGGTGTTGATGTGAGTTTGGGGTACCTGAGCACTCTAAAGGATCGACGCCAATGCCTGGAAGACTACGCAGAACATCCACGTCTAAGCAGCCAAGGTTGGCACAGCCTTTGGCCCCTAGGTCGCAATCTGCGGTCGTTGTTTGGGGTTCTGGTGGCGAACCCGGTTGTGGGTTTTTCATGTGAGGCAACCGCACACAGTAGTCGCAGCAGTGGTAGTATTGGTGATAATGGTTGTTGTGGTGATGGTGGTAGTAGTAAGAGACGAGAGTAGGAGTAGTACTGGGGACAGGAGTAGGCGTAAGAGTTGGGTACCGTAGGAGTTGCGGTAGGAGCAGGAGAAGGAGTAGAAATGGGAGTGCAGGCGGAGGGATTTACCCTGGACATCCTTGCCAAAATCCTTAAGTACTTGGGGTCATGCAGGATCTTTAGCATCAACAGTACCACTTCCACAAGAGGCACGCAAGATGGTTGAAGCCCCTTGGTCCTGGAAGCATTGCAGGAGGGTACGTGGCATCCTTCTTTCCTTGGAACTTTGATCTGATTGAATGGGAAGTACCAACATTCCGCAACAGATTGCCAACCTCAAACCCTACACCCCGAACCCTAAACCCTAACCCCCGCTGGCTCGCAGAATTCCTCGACGTGTCCTGCGATGTTGAAGCCTCACCAATTAACAGCAGGTCAGGCACCCTCAGCCGAGCCTTAAATCCATGCACACATGAGCTATGGTCTAATCTCCTTAAAGGGGGGTCGGGGGTTTAGGATTTAAGGTTTAAACTCCTTAAGGGAAGGTTAAATAGGGCGCTACTATCGGGGATATCAAGGGGGATACTAGGAGTTTAGACTATAACCCATATAACTCCCTATATAATCCCACTTTCCATTTCATGCTCCACGTTGTCTTCTATTCTCCATTATTGGGGCATAATATCCCTAAACCCATTCAGGGGAAAGGAGTTCAGACTATAGCTTGGGGCAAAAGATGCACAGCAAAGTTCTGCACTGTACAGACACACGCAAATCAAGGGTTTAGGGTTTAGGAGTTTAGGTCTTCAAGACCTTGATAGAATCCTGAAAGGAGTTCGAGATGAAGGCATTCTGTGTCGTCCTAATCGGCTTCGCTTCATTAAGCCTCATAATTTTCTCCCCCATGGAGCGGTGCATGTATGATAGGGCCCTAAGCAATGATGTCCAGCATCATTTTGAGGTTTACTTGAGGTGCCCTATGCCACAAGTATACACGGAATCTTGGACCACAATATGTGTCGTTATTCAGGCTTCTACATAATTGATTCTTTGCGCTGGGATGTATGGGGCCTGACCATCAGCTACGCATGAACGGCGGCCCCACAATACTCTCCGAGGCAACATAGAAGCCGGAATGAAAAGGAAGTCTATTCCCTCATGCTCCTTATTTTGTTCGTGGTCAAACATAGCATATCTGCCCAAGTATTATATAGCTACATGGAGCCTTTGGGTATGCATCTTTATATATACATATAGACATTTAGCTATGTAGATAGGCTCCAAAACCCTACCTAGTCTTTCATTTCAGCCCTACATTGCCTGCCACGAACAGGTCGCACTTGAGCCGTCCGCCTGCAGGCTGATTCACGTGCGGTTCTCCAACAGGGGTGCCCTATAGCCCCAAGCCCTACACCTTTTGTAGTCCCAAAGGCTCCATGTAGCTATATGGTATATACTTGGGCCCTGAAGTAATTATAACAGGAACCCCTTTGGGCCCTTAGTATATGCTAAATAGCTACATGGAGCCTTTCGGAGTGGTCGAGGGCCCTAGAAACAAGCCCTTCATAGCGGGCCAGGAATACCTTGGGATATCACCGGGGATTCTGGGGGTTTCAGTGTGGTGCCCTGGGAATCGAAGCATCCATGAGGACGGTAAGAGCAGTATGTGGGAGAACCCTATCTCTTAGAATCCTCTTTGCTAAATCCTTAAACCGGGCCTCCCACTCTTTCGACAGTTCCCACATCTCCTCTGGGTCCTCAAGGGCACCCCTACGTTGAGATACACCCATGTGCTGGCAGCAGTTTTTCTCGCTTCGCACAGGTTTCCCGGCCAGTCCATGAAAGTAGGATTTGCGGGCAAGTCTTCATTAAACATGGCTTCCTTGAAATGATGCATCCTCAAAGAGTTGTTTTTCCTGGGCTTAGGGTTTAGGATTTCCTTGTTCCTCCAAGGGGGGGGTGTACGGGATTGTATAGTGCAGGTTTGATTTTGTCGCTAGCAAGACAGCATCGCCTCATCTCAATGAATTCACGAGGTCATAATGCCCAAAGGGTCCAGGCACCTATACGGTATGCTTGGGGCCCAAACAGGACTTTGAGGCCTGTACGCTATATAGCCATCTGGCTCCTTTCAGAATAGCGATCTACATGAGAACATGCCAACCATATCAACAATGATCTCAATCTCATCAGACTGCGTAAGCCCCAAACCCTAAGACCTGAACCCTACACTCTAAAACCTATACCTATACCCTAACCTAAAGCTTGACTATAATGCCCCCTTGGAGCCGGAGAATTTGATTCACGAGCCATTACTGAACAGGAGTTCGTGCTGTGAAAGCAGAAGGACTTCTGGGTGTTGAGGTAACACTTCCATTTCCGAAGCAGGCGTTGCCTTTGCCCTTTCGCTCTTGCTACCCCACCCATCCGAGTAAGAGGACTCTGTGCGAACTAGAAAGCCGATTTGCCTCTTCCTAGCCTGATGGAATTTAAAAAGCGTGCGGAGGAGAAGCTGGAGGGCTTAGGGGGGATAATATACTATAATCTACGATACTAGAATATACCGTTATATACTATAATATACCACAATAGACTATGATAAATTATGCTGTACTATACTATAACAGACTACAATATATTATACTATACTAGAACACATTATAGTATACTATAGTACATCCAGCGGTGCCAGCCTGCATGGGGCTTGCCAGCTTGGAACACCAAATCCTTATCGACTTCGGAACTCACAGGACAGGATTGCTCACATGGGGGTTTTCAAATATTAGGGCACAGGGCCCAGGGTTTAGGGTTTAGGGGTACCTTGAAAGGGGGTTATGGGGGATATGTAGGGGGGTTTAGGGTTTAGGTGCTCCGGGTGGGTTGCGAAGCCCAAACTGATAAGACATTGGACAATCCTCAGAGGGCCTGTACCGTTCATAGAGCACCCATTCTATACAGCTGATTATTTCGCCTTACTTAGATACGGCTGTGTTTTAACATTTGGGCCGACTTCTGCAACCTCCAAGGGATTTGAAGCCCGCGACAAGAGCCCAAGAAAGGGACGCAGAAGTTTTCAGGATCCTCCAAATACTGAGGCATGGCAAGTGCGGACATCCAGGCGTACATAATCCAATACAGAGACCGACTATCGCTCCCGCATCCCTACTGCCCCGAT